TTATTTAAAATATATATGGTTTTATGCATAATTCCAATGTTTTTAGATATTTTATTTTATAATATATTAGTGTGGTCTTTCCAGCTAATATGTTCATCTAATAATACCCGGAAAAATTTAACTGAGAACGCTCGATTTAGACTAACTTTGTCTAATAGACTATCTGAAAGTTTTAATGGTAGTTTGTCTGAATTGTAAGGTTTTGTGAAAAAGATATAATTACTTTTCTCAATGTTGACAGAAAGTTTGTTTGCTTTAAACCAATCGCTCAACTCTTCAAGTTCCTGATTTACTGTATTAAAAAGTGTAGTAATGTTAGAGTGGGTATAGAAAGCATGAGTGTCATCTGCAAAAAGAATGAAGTTCAATATACTGGAAGATAAAAATATGTCATTTATATAGATTAGGAAAAGCAGAGGTCCTAGAATAGACCCCTGGGGAACACCACATGTGATGATTTCAAGGGGAGTGTATGTTTTATTGAAAAATAAGGCTTGTTTACGGTTTTTTGGATAGCAACTGAACCATTTTAAATTTTTATTTTGTATACCATAATAATGAAGTTTGTATAGAAGGATTTCGTGATCCACTGTATCAAAAGCCTTTGAAAGGTCGGTAAATACTCCGAGGGTGTGTTTGTTTTTGTCAAAGCCACTTAAAATTTCGTTAACTAATTTTATTACAGCATGTTCAGTAGAGTGGCTTTTTTTAAATCCGTAGTGGTCATTGTAGAAAATGATATGGTTTTGAAGGTATGTAAAGAGTCTATTATAGATTATGCGCTCCAATATTTTTGAAAAGCACGGGAGTATGGAGATGGGTCTGTAGTTAGATAAAGTCGAGTCATCTCCGCTTTTAAATACTGGAACTACGCGTGCTAATTTTAGGCGGTCAGGAAAAACTCTATTTTTTAATGAGAGATTAAAGATATACATTCGGGGATACTTAATAACGTCATAAACATTTTTAACAACTTTAGAGTCTATGTCATCAAGACCAGAACTTTTTCTGGATTGTATGGTTTCAAAAGCATTTCAAAGCTCATCAGGAGATAAGTCATACTCATCCATTGTGTAGTCTACTTTTTTTAAGTATGATTTAAAAAGTTTTTTACTTGGAGTTATTTTATTTGCTAACGTCTTTCCAATGTTTCCGATGTTTATAAAATAATTGTTAAAGCTTTCAGCAATTTCTTTTTTATCACTGATAAATATGTTTTTATCATTTGTATTTAAACGTTTAGGCAGTGTATTACCAGAGTCAATCTTTTTTTTCCTATTATTTCATTTATAACATCCCATGTTTTTTTTTTATTTCCAATATTGTTTTGCAATAAATTAGATTAATAACTTTTTTTTTGCTTGTTTTTTTATTTTTTCAAATAGGTTTTTATAATTTTTGTATTTGTTTTCATTTTTGTAAGTTTTTTTTTTAAGTATTTTTCATAGAGTCTTTGTTTTTTTTTGGAAGATTTGATAAGACCTTTGGAAATCCATGGACTTTGTAAGCTTTTAAGTTTAATTATTTTTTCTTGCTTAGGAAACGCTTTTTCATACGCATCACTGAACTCTAAGTTAAAATATTCATAAGCGCTATTTGCGTCTTTGTAGTTGATGAGTTGATCCCAATCTACCAGTGATAGATAGTTACGAAACGTTTCAATGGTATTTTTATCTATTTTTCTTTTTGTAACGCTTATTAATTTGTTTGATTCCTTGATTGATTTTTCTTTGTATATTGAATTTGATGTGAAAAATATTTGGAAATGATCACTTATATCAGTTCTTATGATTCCGCTTTGAGTGTGATATTTCGAGAAATTATTAGTAAAAATATTGTCTATGAGAGTTTCAGTTTAGAGAGTTATGCGAGTTGGTTTATTAATTAATGGTAAAATTTTGTACTGATAAAGAAGATTTAGAAAGCGTTCGACTTTATTATCATTTTTTACGTTTAAAAGGTTTATATTAAAATCCCCCATTAAGTATACTTGTTTATTTCTAACGCTTACTAAATACTGTTCTAAATAGTTTTCAAACGTCGTTATATTTCCGCTAGGTGGTCTATACATAGCGGTTAAATAAACATTTTTTTTGTTATGGATCAGTAGTTCTAAAGTTAACGACATTCCGCATTATTGTTACTCAGATTCCTGTGCGATGGGCTTGTTTGATCTCTACTTCATTCACTTTCAAAGTTTTAGAAAATAATTTTAAAACTTTATCTTCGGTCTCCTCCCAGGTTTCGTTAACACTTTTCGTAATCCCTTCAATTTTAAGATTATTTCGTCTTGAGCGATCTTCTAAAATTCTATTTTTTTCATTAATATTTTGTATTGAGCTTTCTTTCTCTAAGTTGTTACTTACCGTTTTGACTTTCTGTTCATTTAAATGTTCGCGAAAGTTTAGACTTTTCTTTAACTCATTTAATTCTTTTTCTAGTTTGTTTATTTTGTTTACGTTATCAGCAGATTTGTTTTCAATCAATCCCAATCGATCGTTTATTATTTTCAAATTAGAACTCAAAGTTTTTTTCTTGTTGTTTTAGTATTTTTTTCAATTTCTTTTTTGTATTCATTAAACATTTGAGTCAGCATTTTCTTTATTTCTGATACTATTGCAGCCATATTTTTTAAAACACAATTCACAATGAACGAAATATGTCATAGAATATATAGATTTTAAGACACGTGCTTAACTAAGACGCCATCTTTAACCCGCCATCTTAAATGTCAAATATCAAGTTATATCAATATCAATGTTATATCAAGTTATATCAAGTTATATCAATGAAATATCAAGTTATATCAATATCAATGATAATAACTCTAATAAAACTAAAAAACGGCGTGTATCTTGCTTAATTGAATCCCATTCATCCATTGAATTATTTTTTGCTGCTAATAAAAAATTTAGAGATGAATCTATTGTTAGAGCTGCCAAGAGCGTTTAAAATATTTCAAATACAGATAAAGCAACTAAATATTCAGCAGACGGAGCACTGGCTTTAACAATTGATGCCAGTCTGACAAAAGCTTCCTATCAATTGATTAGAAGCGGAGCCTTGAAAAAAGAAAATAACCTTTACCCCGCTTACAATGAATGTCAGAGATGCAAAATTGAAATGTTATCCTTCAAATATAACAGTGGAGGGCTATTCAACTTCAGTTCCTTTAAAAGATTTAATGATTCATACTTTACAAAGAATCTGTGCAGTTCAGAAACCTGTACTGAGGTACTTGATAATGAACGACAAAGCAATAAAAACAATGACACTCGCGTGTAAGGTCGATTTTGATGGTGCTACTGGCCAAAGCATTTTTAAACAAGTTTTATCAGATTCAAACTTATTTTATGAACAAAATGGGACTTTTCCTAAAAGAGGTGGTTCTGGAACAAGCAATGATGGCAATACCTCAAGGCGTGCTTTTGCAGTATATGAACAAACAGGTGAAATTCTGGGTATTGATCAAATCTTATATTCAAATTTTACATTATCTCGGTAAAACTCTCCTCAGGATATGAAATAGACAGCTTAAAATTCAAGGAATAAAGTTATTCTACTATTCAAAGGTGGTGACAAATCTGACATTAGTAATTACCGGTCTATCTCTATCTTATCTATATTTTCAAAAATACTAGAAAGAATCATGTTCAATAGAGTATTTAATTACTGTTAGACTATATGTGCCCCTTTATCCATGGTATTACATGGCTCAATGAGTTTACAAAGTATTGATACATGGACTTGACATATTTAAAAACCTTATATTACCCATCGCACTTATGTCAGAGGAAGCTCAAGAAGTTAGAAATAAAGACTTTAAATCTTATCGCGAAAATTTCGGCCGAAAGACATCTTATCAATAGAATCCTAGTTTCCAGTGATCCTGTTATTTCATCACTGCGTAAATCAACATCGCACCGAACAAATCATAAAGTATTTTCCTAAGATGTTTTACAATTACTTAAACAATCTTTAAACGATGTTATTGTTTTATAATTTTTTGATGTAATTTAAAATTGACAATATTTTTTTGAACTATTTTTTTGTTATTATTACAAAAACATTAACCTAAATAATGAATTGTTATTCAATATAGGTGGGTCGAAAATCCAATATAATATTCAAATATCAACTTACATCTTTGTAACTAAGGAAAGTATCTGTTAACTAAGCAATATGAGTATCCGTAGCAACTAAATTAAAAATATTATCACTTTTATAATAAGTGTGATGTCATATTGATATTCATGCTAAATTTAGGGAATATAGCACTCATAAAATATGTGCAGATAACAAAAATAGGTTGTTGCTAAGCAAAATAAAGGTATTCATAGCAACGAAATAAAAATATTACCTTCATAAAAAGCGCAGACATCATATTAGTACTCATGCTAATTTTAGTGAATATAGCTCCAATATTTAATTAGTTATGAATTTTGTCCAGTAAAAGTGAATTCTGGCCCACTGTACGCTGTTAAATTTAAATACTAAGAGGCCAACAGGGGCTAGAAAGCCTAAAGTGCTGGTAGGCCAAGAAGTACTTAACCCGGCCCTGAAGAAAACATTTGTTTTTCAAAAACTGAGCACATTATTAGCATTAAAACCGAAATCGCTTACAATGAAAAAAAAGTTAGTTATCAATTTTGTAATTTTCTTTGTATTAATTTCTTTTTCTTCAAATTTTCTTTGTATTAATTTCTAATCTTTATATTTTCTAATAATGCCCAAGTACGCTAATCCATTTAACTTTAGAAGCTTTTAAAATTAAACTTTGTTTTGAAAAAACGTTTCAGAAGTCAGAAATAAAAAATAAAAAAAAATTCAACTTGACTATATGGAACACCTTACATCAGGGAAAATTTATTTTTTCATTGAAAGAATTAATATAGCAAAGGTTTATATCTACTTTTTAATATGCTTACTTTTAAAACAGATTCCTTTTGAGGTAGAATCAATACAATTAATATAAAAACATGTTAACAAAAAACGATCAATTTAAATAGTTATTAACTATAAATAATTATTTACAGACATTCCTCAGTATCTAACAACCACCCCAGGTAAGCCTTGACACGTGATCGGTTTTTCGAAGAGTTGCTTTTATAAAACCTAAGAATTGTAATTCAGAAACTCCTCGAATGAAACGAGCGCTAAATTTCTGTTAAGGAGAATTTTTAAGATTCTTCCTTTTAAGATTTCTGGAAAAAAGAAATTTCTGAAAAGATACTGAAGTTGTTCTTCGAGTTTCTTCTTCAATGCAGATTTCTTTTTTTTTGTATCAATTAACGATGGATCAATTACGGTAATAAATGCCTAATAAGAAATCCATATAAAGAAATGAAGTCACTTAAAAAATGTATAAAAATGGAGTTACTTAATAAACACAAACTCAAAAAATACTTCATAAAACAAACAAACAAGAATTGTGTTTTTAATACGACTGCCACATAGAAAGCAATTAAATATCATTTTAATAATTTATTTAAAAAAGCAAAAAATTCAAAGCAACCTGCAACCAATCGTATAGATTTATAAGTTTTCCACATTCCAAGTGAAGCTTATAAAGTATGCATATATCAGGATGAGAAGATTTAATACTCCCAGTATCACTATCGATTTCTTTGCAACATTCACACTAAGCAAAACATTACTTTTTTCATAATTTGAAATTTCATAACTTTATTATTGTTATTATTTTAAAAGAATGAGGAACACATCTGCAAAACGCGCCTAATCACACACAAAAAAAAATTAAAAAGAAATCCATTTCCACATTCTATAGAATGAAATCTATCATCTATTTAAATATTAAACCAATTGAAAAAGTTTTTGTCCTAAAAATTTCTGTTGATGCGTAACTCAAGCCAGTTGAATTTTTCGTCGTTTTCTCAAATTTAATTTCCTTGGACATTTGCGCGTTTTGCAAATAGGCTCCTCCTAGTTTACATATATTGTAATATATTGATGTATTTTATGTTATAAATATATTGTCGGTATACAAGGAAAACGCGCTAAGTCCATTTTTGGTAGTATGGAGTTATTTATATCACTATTTAGTATTTTAAATTCTCTATTGTTTGATATACCACACAAATTTAATAAATCAATTATTAATGAGTTAAGATTTTTTATTTCAACTATTACACAAAAACTTATTATTATAACTATTACGCAAAACTTTTTTGTTCATTATCTCAAAATGATGTTTTTAGACTTTGTATACCGACGATATCACACTTGAAAATTAGATTAAACATTCAGTACTTGGAGATAAAAACTCGATGTAGCAAGTGCTCTTTGTATTGCCAGCCGAGGGGTACCATTTAATCGCTATAATAATTAAATCAAAAAACATATAAGATTACCAAGAAAACATAAGAGATTACTAGAAAACAAAGATTATTAAGATTAGAAAGATTATTAAGGAAACATGTAAGATCACTAAGAAAACATATAGCATAAGAACAATAAGTATATAAACATTTTTTAAATAAAAATATTTACTAATAATCCAACTATCTAACAGTTATCATAAGAAAGTTATGATATTAAAATGATGTAACTATTCGAATAAAAACTCTACCCGTTTCACAGTCTGAAAGTCGTTGTAATAAAATACTTCATGAAAAGGTAACTCAAGAGGAGAAGGCAGATTTTTCCTGAAAAAAAGACAAGAAAATTTTAGCAAAACAATACTTTGAATAGCCTTTACTTCATTATCATCTTTATTTTTTTTATATCAAAAAATTATAAACAAATAAAAAAATTCATAACTATGATTTACTTAAATATTGTATCCATAGCAACAACAACTTCATTGCGTAATTTTTCATACGGAGATTCTTTTCGTTTATCTTTAGCAGCTAACTTCATCTTCTGAACGAAGTAATAATTCAGAAAAAATGTGAGATTTAAAAAAATTAAAATGAGTTTTTTTATTATTCTTAACAGAATAAAGTAAAAATTGATACAATGATAATAATCTCAGAATAATAAAACTTACTGCTATAAATACCAAAATTCATAATAAAATTATATGAGTAAATTAAACAAGAATTACTTCTTGAAGATCGTATCTATTTTTAAATACAGGTAATGGTCTGACTTTTTCTTTTTCTGTAACAACTTCTAGTTCTTCGATATCTAAAATAAATTTAAAAAAAAATAGAGATTACAAATAAATTTATTTGTAACTTCGTTTTATTTAAAATTAAAATTTAAGTTCAAATTTAAAACTCACTATCTAAGTTGTTCAAACGATCAATAAATTGTGTCAGTATTTTAGCATCGTCGAATAATTCCTTGCAATCGCTTTAATTAAACAATTTTGCATTTATTACATATTTTAAACATTATAAAACTTTTAAACTTTTTAAACTATTAATATTCATATTTAATTTAAAATTATAATTAAACAAAAAAAAAAAAAAAAAATTAACATTAACTTTAAGAAAAGAATTTAAAAAAAAATCGCCAAAAAATATCGCTATCTTTACCTTGATTCTTCTAAAACATGCACACATGACATCAAAATAGGCAATAATTCATCACGAGACAGCATCCTATCAACAATAACAAAAAAAGAATATAAAACAAATTTTCACACAATAACTACAATATTAATCAATAATATCATTTGGTGAGCCTTTAACTAAAATCAACCTCACTAATGACATTGCATTTGCATATATCTGATCTTTTGCAATATTCGGACTAATTGTACAATACTCATATGTATCCCTTAACTGAACAGAAAAAAAATATTACACCAAATACGCATTTTAAGAACACAAAAAATAATTTTAGAACACAAAGAACAATATAAGAACACAAAGAACGACTTAAGAACACACCGAAAAATTTAAGAATACAAAAAACAACTTAAAAACGCAAAGAACAATTTAAGGAAACAAGTATAAGAATGAAATTTGGTAATAAAGTTTAAACCTGTCAAAAATCATGTATATAAAGAACAGAAGTTCATTTGTTTTATACCCTTTTTCCAAGAGGTTCCCCTGGAAGCTTACACGTTATAATGAACAAGCATTTTACAGATGGGAAAAATACTCTTTCGTGTTCTTTTAGCTGCTCTAATAGCTTTAAACTTAAGTTCTAAAAACAATAAAAAAAAAAAAAACTAAATAAGATTGAGTAATAATGTAAATAATAAAAAATGTTGTCTATTATATGTTTATTTAAAATATAAAACGTTTAATATATAGCTCAATATGTTTAATATTAATTTAATAATTTATGTTAAATTATGCAATTTATGTTATTAATTTAATAATTGAATGAAGTAAGTACGAGCAAGGGTTTGTGAGATATTTCTACTTTAAATGGTGATTTTAAAAGGTGATTTTAAAAGGTGATTTTTAAGAGAGTTTTGGTGCAAAATTGAGAGATGTTTTTTCAACTATTGTTCTTTCTACTTTGTTATTCATTAAAATAAAAACAAGCAAATAAACTTTAAAAAGTATATAAAAATAACAATGTATAATATTATAATAGATAAAAAACAAAAAAAACTAATGATAAAAATATTCATAGTTTGAAATACTGTATATAAGTTTGTGTATTTTTGTGTTTATTTATGGTTGACACAAAAAAAAATTATATATCTAAAATAAACAAGAGTTTGTGTACAGTTTGTATTTTATTACATTTAGTCACATTATTTAGTTACAGACATCAAACATCAACAAGATAATTAAGTTTTGCTGTCATATCATCAAAGAAAAACCTGAACTATCCATTATATTTCCTGTCAAAAACTATAACCATTAGGGATACGTCACACAGCACACACACCAACAACAAATATTCTTACAAACAGCGACAGAGATGATAAACTGACAGACATCTAGACCTCCCTACATGATCCTTTAATGCACGATTAAGTTGTCATTATGATTTGGACATTTATACTTGAGTTGGTTGTTATTATTTAAGTTATACTGTAACTTGTAAAACAAAAACAGTAAAATCAAAACGGCCACAAAAGATAACATCCCAAAACATAGTTGATAACAGTACTGAAATTTTGCAAGCAGTACTGAAATTTTGCAATTTTGGATAAATTAAGCGATTGCGGATTGAGATGGTCCAAAGCCATTTAGCGATCTTAAAAAGATATTATTTGTAGCAATTGTGATTGCTAATTTTATTTTTCTTAATGTTTTTATGAAAAAAGGTTTCATCATGTTTTAAAACGATGTTGATACAAAATAATCTGGTCAGACAAATTTTACCTTTGGTTATTTGTCCTTCAGGTCAGGCAAAGCTAATTTTAAAATTAACAAGTTTACTTTTAGGACCTAGAGTATCACCAAGAAAAGCTGGTCTTTTAATTTTCTTTATTTGTATAAATTTTTGAAGTTGATTGAAGTAGTAACAAGAAGTAGTAACAAGCTTTTAATTATCTTCTTTCAATTATTTTTAATTTTGGCATATAACAATATGAATTTTATCCCATGTTTGTGTTACCTGTTTTATACAAATAATATTCAAAAAATAATATTTGTGTAGGAATTTGCTATTTTTGTTTTAGAAAAGTTGTTTTTTAGTTTAGTTAAATTTGAGTTAATTCACCCTTTGGCAAGGTAATTTATGTGCTGTAGATGATCGTTTTTACAAAACATGAGATGGTGGGTTACATGGCTGTCCCGCTTTCTGATGGAATACCTTTTTATTCACATATTAAAAAGCCTTTAATTCTAATTTAATTTAAAAAAAAAATTAAAAGATAGCATAGTGTGGAGAAGAACAGCTAAATATTAATTCTGAATCTTTAGACAACATATTTATAAATGTTTCCTAAATACTAATTCTTAGAGCTAAATATAAGTAAAACAGTAAATTTATAATTAGTTGTAATGTCATATATTTCTATAATAACTAAAGTAAACAGAATGTTATTGTTTCTCAAAAGTTCTTAAAAACTAGTTTTAAAAAACAATATTTCATTTTTTGAAACTTTTACATTTGTCTGTCAAACAATAAAAGATATCTTGCTAAATAGTGCTGACTACAAAATATTTGTTAATATTTTATATTACTGCTTTCAATCTCTTAAGGATGCAAAATCAGAGTCTGGAGTACTTAAGTCCCTAACTTTACCTGGAGCCTAGGAATTTTTGTAAAACTATCAAACTCTTTGTTCCTTATAATTAAAAGAGGAAAATTATCTCATTTTTTTACTAACTTTTATTCCAGGAATTATATTGTATTCATTATTACAGCTTTTTGTTTAAAGTAGTTAGTTAATCGTTTGTACAAAGTATGAACTCAATGATATCTATTCATAGTTTACAAGGACTTGAAGAAAACAAAAATTGAATAACCCCATATTTTTTTCACTAATAACTAATTTAAGAATAATTTCAACATTATAACTTGATGTTTAACTTCACGATAAAAAGAAATACTAATGGAAATGTGACAATTGATCATTAGTTATGTTTTACTGTTGTGTTATTATTATGATACGCAACTTGTGTTTTGTATGTTTCCATTATAAAGTTAATCAAAAACAGAAATTACAACTAATCAAAATAGGAATTGGAAAAAATAAAATAGAAAAGAATTTCATGGTATTTTATGTTATTTACTATAAAATTTCTATTTAAATATGTAGAAACTATTTCCATTTTAACCTTGCTCACTTTCATTTTTAAATTCGTCTGTTTTTATTCAGAACCAACTTAAGACAACTGAAACAAAGATTTGAGCCCTAAAAATAATTCAGAAACTTTAAAAGAACTAATCTAACTTAGACCTTAAACCTTTTCTAAGACAACCCATTAAATGCTAATAAGTGTTTGTGTAAATTTTAGGAAATTTCAACTTGTTTTTGACAACCACTTAATTAAATGTTGAGCAACTGTTTTTCCTTACTAGATCTAGACAACAGACTACATTGTAGCCATTTTACATAAAATTTAATCTATGATTTGGTGTAAACATGTTTTTTATTTGAATGCTTGTATTAATTGTTCTTAATAATTTTCATAATAATTTTTTGTTTTATTCTATTACATTAACATTTAGCTGTTCTCTACAAACCCTGATAACAACTTTCAACATTTTTCATTCAAAAATAAAAATATTATATTGGTTCAGAATTTAAAAATAAACTGTTAAACTGTCACATCGAAACTATTGTTTTTTATTCTTTTAGAACTGCATTATCCTCAATGATTCTCATTACCTTGCTATGATAGTACAGAAAAAGTTATCCTGACATGACGTACAGAAGAAGTTATCCTGCCGTGACAGTACAGAACAAAATATGCATAACATTGTAATAGAAACTTCATAAAACAATCATGCTTTTCCAAAATTAAATTGAAAAAAATTTTTTTATAATGTATTATAACATTATCAAAAGACAAAAAAAAAATACTTATGAAACTTGATTGGACTTTGCATCCCTACAATGTCTCAAACTCTATATATTTCTCTATATATTGTTATCTTTATTTATTTCTACACATTGAAATGTTAAACCAAATTTTATGGGTATGATTAATAGTAAAATGAAATTACAAATTATAAATATCTGAAATTTTGAAATGAAAAAAAATATCCTTTGCAAAAATTATAGAATGATTTGACTTATAAATGGTTGTCAAGCAGCTGGATAACTATCACAAGGAGTAGTTACAAATTTCAATAATACAACAAAAACACAACAATACCACATCAAAACACAACAATACCACATCAAAACACAACAGTAATGCCTGCATCAAAACAGAACAATAACACTTGGATCAAAACTCAATAACCATAGTATGGCTTTTATGTTTTTTGGACAAGAAAATTTTCTTGTCTTACAAAATCTCCAATTCTTCTAATATTTATTTAAAATAATTTAGAATTTTTGAACTATTTATACTTTTTAAAGCATAATATTGTATAAAGTCTATATATGTTTAAAGACTTGTTACCTAATTTATTGATAATTAGCTAACTCACAAAAAAGTTTTCATAAATAATGTTTACAAAATCACTAACAGAGCAGCATTAACATCGAGCTATAAATAACCAATATCACTGATGAAACTACATTCACTAATAACTACAAACTACATACACTAATAACATTATTTAGAACACTGGACTAACATTCACAACACTAACAGGAAAAAAAATATTCAGAAATTATGTAAATTGTTATAAAAACAGGTTTTGTCTATTGCTAATGGTAATTATTATTAGAAAGATTGCAAATACTGTACATAATAACTTACAAGGAAAATATAAGTATTATTCAGGTGAAAATAAAACATGCCAATAAGCTAAAGAGACTTTTTAACAAACAAAACATGAAAAAATAATAAAGTTTTGAGATATTAAGTAAGAAATAATTTTTTATATTACAATTGCGAAAAAAAAATTTTTTTTTTTAAATTAATTTATAAAAAAGTAGAAAAAACGCAGTTTAAAAGAATGAAAACATACAATCAATTCTTGTTTCTTGCATAAAATATTCTTTTGCTCCTCTTCTCCTTTTCTTTCTATAAAACTATGTAAAAAATATTCACCATTTAATATCAAAATATTCATTAATATATTATATTCACCATTTAGTATCAAAAAGAAAAATCTTAACACTCAGCGCTTGTTTGTTACAGAGAGAGAGAGAGAGAGAGAGAGAGAGAGAGAGAGAGAGAGAGAGAGAGAGAGAGAGAGAGAGAGTGGGGCGGGTGAAAGGGGTTAGGAAGGGGTTCTGGCTGCAAATATTTTCTGACAAAACAAACTGATAAAAAATGAAAAACAAACTTTTCTTACTTCTTAAAAGATTTTATATTTTGAAAACTGGCAATCTGTGAATTAGTTAAACTATTTATGTATATTTTTTGTTCGCTCAAGTTCATCATACTAAGAACACTAAATTGATTTCTGTAAAAATGTTCCATGACTGAAAACTATAGAAAAAATTTAAAGGAACTTTAATAAATAAAGTAACAATTATAAAACATAAAATTGTAAATTGAAGATTTAAAAAAAAATACAAAATAAATTATAAAGATATAAAACATAAAAAAACATCTATTATTAGGTTTGCAATGTTTAACTTTTAGGTCAATTTTTTTTACAGATTTGAGTTAATAAGCTTTGATGTTTAACCTGGTTTAAATTGGTACTATATACAGTAGGATTTGGAACTTATGCGCATATTGGCAAATATATGCGCATACCATTAAAAAGCTATGCACATAACATGCATATGATGAGCATACAAATTTAATAAATAAATGCTATATAAAATTAATTAAATATTGTCAAATATAGAAGAAAATGTTTTTTAAATCAAACGCAAGAGACTTTAAATTAAAAGAAATAACTTTTTCATTCGATTTTCTGTAATTAATTTTATTTAAAATATTTCAAATTATTTTCATGATTTTTAAACAAATTTCTATATCACAAAACTTAACAATTTAATTTATTTTTGTTACATTTGCTCATTTAAAGTTTCTTCACACTCAAACTTAAAACTGCAACTTCCTCTAAAATGTAGCCAATTTTGTCAATAGTATCTATCAAAACACTATTGGTATATATGAAAACTAATTATTTTATGCATCCGTTTTTCAAGAAATTTCTTGATCGTCAATGAATAAATTGAAAAATTGACCAAGTTTTCTCTGCTTAAGCTGACGAAAAAATCATTTCAATAATAGATTTTGCAACTTCAAAGACTGGACAGTTTTCATATAATAGAGTAGAATGGGGAGAAGTGGGGCAGCCTGAAATTTCTAATTAGGAGTGGTGCCTAAATAATGTTATTTAATGTAAAAAATTAAATTTAATCCCCTCTATTTATCAGAAATTGCTTTGTTTCCTTGCGTGCGCTAGAAGCCCAAATTTTGAAATTTACCTTAAAAAAATTTACATTGGGATGAAGTTGGACAGAAAAAAGAAATATTCATGCCCGCTTCTTTCCGTCGCCATTTAATTATTTCAATTGGTGAAAGCCAATCATATGTCAATTAGGTGATTTTATGATATTATCAGTTTCTATTTAATAATTTGTGTTAAAATGTTGTTTTAAATTTATTTGTCTCACTTCTACTTACACTTGTCCCACTTTACCCCAATAGCACGGTTTCTCTAAAAGCAAAAGTTTACTTATAAATACTTAGTTATAATTGGCTAGAAACTTAAGAGGATTGAATCAGTGCCTAAAAAGGTTTATTTGTAAAAACTTGTTTTGTTCAGTTTATACATCAAATAAAAAAGGTATTTCGATTACCCTAAAAAAAAATTTGCGTGTCCCACTTCTCCCCACTCTCCCCTACCAATAGTGTTTTGATGGATACAAACAACAAAAATGACTATATTTTAGAAGAAGTAGCAGTTCTTAAACTATAAATTTTTCAGTTTTTTAAATTAAAATACTTTTATAATTAACAACTTAAAGTTATGAATTATAAAAGTGCGGTAACTAAAGAGATTTAATAGTGGAATTAAATGTTGTTAACTTTTTATTCCACTATTAAAATTGATGAATTTTTCATTTCAAAAGCACAATATATCGGCGAATATCTGTGCATACAAATCAAAGTAATACAAATACAAAGTAAAGCCCTGCAAAAAAATAAAACAGGATTACATTGTTGCTTTGGTACTGTATACAGTGCAACCCTGCATAAAAATAATACAGGGTTACATCACAGGGTTGTAATTGAATAGATATAATTTTTTTTTTCCAAAACTATTTAATGTGTAATACAATAAATACAATAATGTGAGGATACAAAAATAAAATATTAATACAAAAATAGATTAAAACAATAACTTCACCTGTAGCCCTTTGACAAAGTTTTTTAGTAAAAAATCATGGTACAAAAACGACTCAAACAATAATCGAAACACACGAGGCCCAAGTTTAAATGGAGCATTACTTGTCAAAAGAACCTGGAAATTTATTTGAAATAGTTTTAAATAAAATATTTTTTCTACTTCTTGTAAATAATCATTTTTTACTCATTATATTATTTAATTATTTTCTTTAATTATATAAGATAAATATGATAATTTAATTACATAGATAACTATATTTATGAGAAAAAGTATATAAAGAAATAATTTAATAAACAAATAAAAATAGGTTTTACTGAAATGCTTTTTTCATATGCACATACTACTTATCCTCATCCTATTAAGTTAATCTACCTGACTAGTTAATTGGTTACCTTATGTCTAAATATGTTTCCTATGTTTCCTTTTTCTAATTATATGTTTCCTATTCCTAAATATGTTTAAATATGTTTCCTACCATGACAATACAGAATATGTTATCCTACCAAGTTCTAATTTGAGTATTTTGAGAAAAAAAATTTTCATGAATATGGGAATATTTTTTTTCTCAAAATATTCAAATTAAAACTTTCTATATTGGGACGAACCTTTTTCATTTCAAGTTTGTTTTAGTGACCAGAGCAACAAAATATAAAAAAACCTCAGTATTTTCACTACATAATATTGCATGCCACAAATGTCATACTAAAATAGTTATTTGTGGAAGAATATAGTATAAGACTATAGTAAAAGCCACTAAACCAAAAGCCACTAAACCAAAAAAAAAAGGTAATTGTTCAGTACACTTAAAAATTTTAACTACAGTATATTGGTGTTTGCAAAGAAACACTACATTAATTATTTTTTAACATAAACTAATTTTTTTCAACTTAGTTGTATAGGCAGGTTTGGCACTTAACCATCCATATATATGTTTGTATTGAAAACTTTTTTGATTTTTTATAATCATCCTATATCAAAACTAACAGTTATTTTTAAAAGAGGGCGCTTAAAGGAACAGTGCCCCAGGGTGCCAAAAATGTAAAATACATCTCTGCAGGTGTGATGTTGTTGTGTACCAATAATGAAAATTCTTAGTTATTAAATAAGTAAGATATTAAGCACCATGATATCACAATCAATAATGATCTGTTTTTCAGATTGTATAATGTTGTTAAGCAATTATAATATTTATATTTTTATAAGTTATAACAACAAAGTTTCAAAAAAAAAAAGAAAAAAAAGAGTAGTTCAAAATATCAAAGGAAAAAATGCTAGCATTTAAATATATTAAAAGTATTTAGATAACCTGTATATATTATTATAAATTATTTACAATATACCAACATTGTAAACTTCTTATATAATATATGCTTTATTAATAATAAATGGATTACAATACCAACTTTAAAGAAAAAAATAATTTGTTTGATTGGTCGAATAAATTGTTTAACCGGACCTTAATTAAAATTTATTTTAACAAAAATAATTAAAAATAACCTTTTCAATAACTTCAGTTAAACATATAATTGATGGCTGTGATTGGAACTTTTCAACAGACAGATGAGACGATACAAAATGAGGCAAAGATTGATGCATAGAAGATACTGTTGTAGCAATTCCAAAAAGTAAAACAATTGGAAGGTTTGCAATATGTTCACTAAAAAACATTTCAATGTATTAAAAAAAAACACATTCATAACAGTTCATAATTTTTTTTAAATGATAATAAATATAATAAAAAATAAAATTATAAAGATACTATTTTTAATTGACTAATGGATTAAAATTAAATTTATATTTTTTTGTTTTGTTTACTATGTGAATAGTGGCGTAATAAAGTGGCGTTTGTTATGAGAATAAATAAATATTCTTGCTCTTGTAAGATGATAAATAAAAAATTATCAAGTTTATTCTATGATTTCTTTTTTACGCACATATATCTTTTTTCTTTTCATTTTTGAGAGAAAAGTTAGGTTAATAAAAATAAAATTTTCTTTGTTTTTACTTAGGTTATTACATTTGTAAATAGCGCAAACATTAAATGTAATTTTGGTACTAACTTTTTCACCTAATCGTCATTCAAACTTCCTAAGTGGTTTTCATAATATTAATTAATTTTTTTATCTTACCTCTTGTTTAAATATTAAAAAATGATAAAAAATGGCTTACATGAAATGGTTTACTGCTTAAGTAAAATGGCTTATAACAAATGTGAATGGCGTGCCAGTTTACACTTTAAAACAAGGCCTGTATATATACATGAGAGTTATGACTTTTTAACTTTTTGTAAAATAATTAATTTTCTGTGTCATAAATTGATAAACTTTTGCTTAAAAATAATGAAAATTACTAATGAAAATGGATTTTATTCTAATTAATTTCCAAAAATTTAAAATTTTAAAAATAGAATATAAGTATTATTTGCTGGCAAAGATTTGCAAGATTTATACAATATAAGCTTTCTGATTGAGCAACGCTTACAATTATATATAAATCTGTATTTATCAGAGCAATATCAATATCAGCAATATCAGTCAATCAATATAGAGGTACAATAGCACTTACATTGAAGAAATATATTCAAGTAATACCTTTAATCATAATGTCCTATAAGAAAAGTGCTTCCACTACTGAAAGATACAAGACAATATGAATAAAGAATCATATACAATTTTATTAGTCACATATGAAAAGAAGAGTTGTTCCACTAGAAGATTAATCACAGGAGGATACAAAAATCCAAATTCTTGGTTGTTATCTGTTCCTATGCCAACATACTATTCATTAAACATACTAATAATAGTATTACTACTGTTACAGTAGTTACAAATAACTGTTACTGCAGTTTTCTCTGTTTGAATTTTTATGCCAGTGCACTAAAAAGCGCTGACAGGATGGTCATTTTTAAGCTAGCCTGCACAATTTTAAAAATCTTTTTTTTCCTGCTATTTAAATTAAAATTAAAATAGCGGTAAATAAATATTATATAAAATAATTTAAAAAAATAATTTTTCATAAAAGTTGTCCAAATGAACAAAAATGTTATGTTGCAATTCAAAACAAAATGCTTTTATTTTTTTGGCAAGCACTTTATTATGCACTCGTCAAAACTTTTTCGATCGTGTGGGCAAGCACAAAAAGACTTGAGCGTGAAACCGCTGGCTAAATGGAGAAAACTGCTACTGTAGTAACAAATAAGCGTAAAAGAATCTTAAGAATTATGATTTTTTCTATAAAATTATTTACTCTAAGTGAACAAAAGAAGTTTTAAAGAAGTTTCTCAAGTCACTGTAAAATTAACAAAAAAAAAAAAAAGAAAACTGAATTTAGCAATTAGAGACAAAATTAAATATAAATATATAAAAACAATACTCTAAAGTTGTGGGAAAATATTTTTAAAAACATATCTGTAAAAACTTTTTACAAGTGAATAAATAAAGGCACGACTATAATAACATTTGCTTAGTCTTTACATAAGTAAAATGTATATATATTTAATATCACAAAGTACTACTCTAAAATATTCAAAATAAATTTTACTATCCTTGAAAATATCAATATGAAAATTGAAAACTGAAGTTTTGACATCAAAAAAAAAGGTGGTGAATGGCTCTGTGAGGACAAAAGATTGTCTAATAATCTTCAGATAGAAAACAAAAGATAGGTCGGGTATACTTAAAAAAGAAATGTAGAAATGTAAAACGCTACACTTAGAAGGCTGGTTGCTGCACTTTGATGGTTAACTTAATAGTCACCAAGAACATCAAGTGTTGAAGAATAAACAAAGAGAAGTTAAGTAACAAGCAATAGAAGAAAAAGCTAACACTTTTGTTAAAAGTTGAACAGCTATTTTCTTATTCTTTTCCAGAGGAAAAAAACTAACACTATTGTTAAAGGTATAACAGATATTCTCGATGAATACAATTTACGGAAGAGTATAAAAAATGATTGTAGCGGACACTAGGAATGTAAACACTGGAAAAAGAAAGGCATTGTTAGTCAGTTACAAAGATGTTTTACTGAAAAGAAACCGAAAGAACCACAACTTATTGGTTGTCAACATCATGTTCTTAACCGAGTCCTTTGTGTAGAAATGGATGAAGAACTTGGGGGGAACAACCTGTCACCCAATATCAAATATCCGTTTATCCCGGAACTTGTAAAAAACTTCGAACAACTCAGGAAGAATTTCAAGGATGGTAAAGAATTGATTTTGGAATCGGAAACCATCAAGGCAGGAAATTCCCAAAACAAATCAGTGTGCAGAACAAGCAATCGAGTGTCTTCAAGATCTTTTAGACACCTAGAAAAAAAAAAGCACTTTCACTTTTGATTTATTTTGTTTAACAAAGCATAAGAATTGTATATGCTTTAATTAAGCTGAATACTACACAACATTTTTTCAATATATACAATAGCTTCTTATACTTACGTAGAATTGTTATTTAAGTTTGTAATTTTATATTTATTTGTAATTTAAAGTGGTATGATATTATAATAAACTGTTAAAAACTACATAATAACTCTGCAATTAAAAAAGTTAGAATTAAAAAATAACGACAATAAAATTGTTTGAAATTTGATCTAAATGCATATATAGTAAATTCAAATTTTTGGTTTGTGGGTGACCTTTTTCAATAAGAAAATATTTGTACAAATATTCATCGATTTATGACCCAGAAACATGGGGCCACAAAAAAGTCATAACCCTAATATACACACATACATATATGAATATACACACATAAATATATACACACACAAAAGTGTGTATGTGTGTATATATTTGAGTATGAGGTAGTCATTGCACACCTACCTACAAATTAATATAAAATCTTGTAAAACGGAGGGTGAAAAACTTTCAAAATCTTCTATAATAAACACTAAGGAATTTTCTAGAGAAAAAAAAATTTAAAAATTCATAACTAACATATTCAAGTATTTAACTTTATTTTTTTGAATAATCAAATGATAATACCTTGTACAGACTTTATTGTGTCACTAAAAAAAGTTTTTAGTCAAATAAGTAATTTAAAAAAAATTCTATCAAAATAACAAAAAAATAAACTTAACTTTTTCTTAAATAACAACATACTTAACTTTGTCTTCGCTAACACTCTAAATATATATATATATATATATATATATATATATATATATATATATATATATATATATATATATATATATATATATATATATATATATATATATATATATATATATATATATATATATATATGTATATATATATATGTAAAAATTAGTAAAAAAGCACTTTTTTCTTTATCTGGCAGTTTCAGTAGGAGGATCTGCCAGTTAAAGAAAAAAGTTGAACAAGCATTTTAAACTGACTATAATAATAAATAACTGTTATATTATTCTGTATATACCTCTTGATATATATATGTACTAAATATAAAAAAAATTATATCCATATAAACTTAAAAACATTGCTTTTTTATTTAATATATTTGGATAAATATATATAAATACTTAATACAAAATTACATCAAAAACCATTTACCTTATCACAGTTGTGTTTATACCATGATGTAAGTTCATCAAATGTATAATGATTGAAAACAGATGACTTCTTTTTAGTTTCAACTTTATTGTCATCTTTATTATTTTCTTGTGTATCTGAAGTCATGGTCTAAATATAAGAAAAAAATAATATAACATAAATATTAACAGTTTATTGGTGGTGAGAAAAAAACATGACTGCTAAAATAAAGAAATTTCTGTTAAAGTTTCCTTTAATTAGAACTTTGAACTTTAATAATGAATGCTGTGTTGCATCTTAAATTTGGTTGTTGAATTTGATTCAAGTGTTGAACTTGAATGTGAACAGTACTATGAGATATTGTATCAATAACAAAATATATTGTATTAATAACAAAAACAAAAAAACACATTACTATTAAATAAAAATAAGATTTTAAAACAATACATGTAAACTGGTTGGTTCACAACATGAAAATTTAAAAAACTTTTAAAAAATAGTGTGAGAATAAAAAAAAAATCACAAAATTTAATTAATTTCAAATTTTTTTCAAACTTTTTAAGTCTAACATTTCGCTCAAACTTTAAATTTTATTTTTAAAATAGTGAAACTATATAAAAAAAAAAAACTATCATTACATGGCCTACTATAATTACACGGCCGGATATCTTGCTTTTCCGAGTGAAAAATTAGAAGGGTAACTTTTAGATTTTCTTAAGCGTCTTTTAAAATTGTTTACTTAAATATTCATAATATGGTTAATACATGTGCTGTAGTTTATTGTAAAACTGGATATAAAAAGAGGGAGAATCAAATTGATGTCATTCCTGAAAAGCATCCTTTTTTTGGATTTCCAGGAAATAATCCTGATTTAAACAGTGGGTAGCATTTGTCAATCAAAAGTTATGGAAGCCCAGAAAGAATTCGGCTATTTGTGCTAAACATTTTGAAGAAAAATATTTAAAAATTGGCAAAAGAGTAACATTAGTTTAGGATTTAAATCCCGTTCCAACTATTTATTGCCTAACTGAAAAAATACCACTATCAGTATATCCAACTACATCGAAAACTAGAAAGCCAACGTCTGTCCTTCATTCATTAAACAATCAGGATGAATCCAGTATATTTATAGAAAAAGATAAAATGCACTGTTTAAATGATTTAAATAACTTTAGCCTTGAAGGGTATCAGCTTAAAATATTTAATGGGAAATACATATTTTTTAAGTTAGAAATTAATCAACACTTAGGTATTTTTGAAGTTACAGAAACAATTGTAGTTGATGAATTTATGCATATTTAATTAATTTCTAAATCATCTTATATTCCATTGCCCCCATGGTTGCGAAATATTGGCTGTGTATTGAAAGAAAAAAAAGTGTATTGGAGAATTTTCCAGCGTATATAAAAAATTACATTGAAGAAAATAGTTTGTCAAATGGTTTAATAACTGAACTCAACGAAATAAAATACAAAAAACCAGTTGATCAGCCAAATTTTTTATCAAATCTTCTACGATATTCCCTTATTCTTCTATATACATCAGCGTAGGCTTATAAAATCTTGTTCGAACAGTTTCCTCTACCATCATCATTTAGTCTTTTGAAAAAAATTAGTAAAGGTGGGGTAGAATCATTAAAATCTATAAAATGTTTATTAAACCAAGACAAAATTGGTAAAGATGTTGTGCTACTGATGGATGAAATATATTTGCAGAAAGAAGCGCAAGGTGGTAGAATGATAGGAGTAGATAATAAGGGAATTTTATATAAAGGTGTAATGACCCTCATGATTGCTACTTTGAAAAAAAAGTTTAATTTTGTTATAAAAGCTATACCAGAAGTAAAAATTGAGGGTAAGTGGCTAGCTAACCATGTTGATGAGTGCATTACATCTCTACAAGAGAATGGTTTTCATGCTTGTAGTGTAATTTCTGATAATCATTCTACTAATGTTTCTGCTTTTTCACATTTGATGCAAAAATATAAAAATACCAACCATGTTAGTAGTATTACTTATCCTACAAAAAAAAGATAGTATAATAAACTTATTTTTTGATGCTGTCCATCTTCTCAAAAGCATACGAAACAATTTACTGAATTCTAAACGTTTTATATTCCCTGCTTTTCATTTTGATCAGTTTCATGATGTTATTGATGTACATGCTGGTGAAATATCATTGAGTTACTTCATGATGTATATGATTAAGACCAATTACTTCAGTCAAATTTAAAAAAAAGGTTTCAAATTATCTTACAAATCACTTCATCCAGGAGATAATAAACAAAGTGTACCACTTTCTCTTGCAATATTTGACCTCACAACTTCTGCAGCTATTGAAAGTTATTTTCCAGATAGGACTGATGCCTCAAGCTTTTTAAAGTTGATAAATATATGGTGGACAATAAGTAACAGTAAGCAAAAATATAACAACAATTTTTGTATTGGAAATGCAGCTGTTATGGGTGACATGAAACCTTTATTTTTGAGGAAGCTAGCCAAATGGATTGAGAATTGGCAATTATCTCAAGTTTCCGACTCTCAAAAGTTTACATTAAGTAAACAAACATCAAAAGCATTAAGGACCACTTTTAGATGTACAGCTTCACTTCTTGATGATTTAATTTAAGAGGGGTATCATTATTTTTTAGTATCACGCTTGCAAACTGATCCATTAGAACTAAGATTTTTAAAGTATCGTCAAATGAGTGGTGGCAGATTTTTAATTGGTTTGCGTGAACTTGAAACATCTGAGTGCATATTAGCTTTGAAAACTTTACTTAAAGAGTCAGTCAATATCTGGGAGGAAATATCTGTTAGAGAAGAGAGTTGTAATATATCTTTACTTAAATTATTTAATGATAAATTGCAAGAAATTTTACCAGATATTGAAAAATGCAGTTTAGATTCAGAGAGCTTTGAAGTTGCTACAGTTATTTCTGGTTATGTTGTTAAAAAGTTTAATAAAAAGATCAAATGTGGTGTTTTCAAAACTTTTCTATTAGCTGAATCTGGTGAGCTACAATGTCAATATTTAGAAAAACTTTCTTGTGGTGGATTAATTTTACCAGCTATTGATCTTACACATTATGTTGCCAAAGCATTTGCAATATTAGATACTGCAACTTTGCTTATAAGAGACTTAACTCTTTCTGATCTGAGGTACATCTTTAAATTAATCAAGTCATTACAAATTTAAATATTTTATTATTAATAAAATTATTACAATTTTATATTGATGAACAAAGTACAATATAATATTCTCTTATTCTTAAGTTTTTAGAAACACTATCATCAAGCAAAAGAAAATGTCTAATTTTTGAGACTTAAGTTATATTTGTCAAACAAATTTTATATTATATACACACTTCAATTAAAACAAAAACCTGTATAAAGATTTTAGTTTTAATTGTGGTAAGTGAGGCCAATAATGCTATACAATATATTTATGTTTTGAAAAGTTACCCTTCTAATTTTTTGTAGCAAAAAGCAAGATATGTGTAATTATAGTAGGCCATGCGTATAACAATTTAAAATATTCTATGCTTTTTCAAAAAAAAGTGTTCTTTTTCAATCCTGCCTAAAATGGGTTAAAAGAAATTTTTAATAGTGAGAAACTATAAAAAATGAAACCCAGAAACCATGACAATGTTTTATAAATATGCTGTTTCTCTTTTAACCTTTTAATATTAGATTTTAATTTTCCAATATTAGATTTTTTAAATTCTAATACTAGAAAAATAAAAATTATAATAACAAGAATAAAAAATATAAAAAATTTGTAAATAAAATATATATGAAAATAACAAAAATATTAAAAAATAATAACAATTTACTTGGTCACATAATTTTACTTGATCAGCTGATGCAACTAATGAATTAAAAATTAACTTTAGCATTGACTTCAAATCTAAAGAAAAATTATTTTTCATGATTTATATGTAAACATCTTTTTTATATTAATCTCGCTATCTCTGAAAGTCTCGGTCTCTCTGAAAGTCTCGCTATCTCTAAAGGTCTTGCAATCTTTAAAAAGAAAAAGCAAAACTATTATTAGAACTATTATGTAGGTTGTCTTCTTCTTTTTTATGATTTCTTTTTATTTTTTTTTTATTTCAACAAGTTGCCTTCTTTTATATCTTTTCTTTTTAGGTTCAACACTTGTGTGGTGCTTAGATTTAAAAAAGGAAAATGGCTTAACAGAAAAGCTGTATTTTGTAAAATGTATTTTTTTACAACCTAATACCCAACCAAAAAATACTAATAAATAATAAATAAATAAATTACTTCCTAAACAACTTTTTTTTAAAAAAAAAAAATTAAGCTCCTAATAACAGCAAATAACCCAAGAGCAGTTGCTAATTTCTTGTTTTACCTTTTCCAACTTTCTAACTTTCTGGCAACAATTTAATCAGGAAGTCTCTACAGCTTTATTGATAATCCTACCATTCTGTTTGAAATATAGGTTTGGCTGGTTTTGGATTAAAATTGGAAAAAAAGCAATTTATGAAACTTTTTAAAAAGTATATAGAAAAAAGAAATGGATTTTAGAAAAGATTTGCAAATGGTATTGCTGGAGAATACTAATTTCATAATTTTATGACATTAACAAGTCCCTTGAAACAAAAATAGAATTGACGTTTGATTTTCTTTACTTATATTTATATTCCAAAGCTACATTGGAAAAATGTTACGTTATGAATAGACCTGCTCAAAAACTAAACTGTTCAAAAGACCTGCTCAAAAAAAGTGGATTTAGCAATGACTCAAAAAATAAAAAATAAATTTGCAAAAGTAAAAATCCAGTAAACTATTGCTCCTGGCTCAGGAAAAAAACATTTTTCTATACTAGAAAATTTTTTTTTTATTTTTTATCTGAAAAGAATTTGTATAAAAAATTGATTCCAAATATGGGGGCACAAAAAATGGTGGATGGAAGAAGACATTTTCATTGAATACTTATACCATTTTGTTTTATGATAAAAAGACCTTATGTTTATTTTGTTTATTTGTTTGTTTTGTATTGTTCTGTTTATTTTGATGATGAGTCATATTTCTTTTGAAACTGTTATAAAAGCAATTGATAATCTTTTTTCAATTGCTTTTAATTAACTATTTTATGCTATCAAATTGTTGATAGCATAAAATAGTTATCAATTATCAACCAACTATTTTATGCTAGAAAATTGTTTGCATCTGCTAGAGCAACTTGATTAAGGAGTCTTTTGCCAATTTAAATTTGCATGATATGAAATTCTGGCTAATTGGTATAATGAGTCAAGAATGAAGGTGGTTGGAATTCTGTGTTTTTATTTTTAATAAAAAAACTTTCTGATACAACCTTTAAGTCATTTTTAATTTTACTTCATTTAATACAGTCATTTCCAAAATTTGGAATTTTTGCTATTGATCCAACTGCTAACTATCTGATAAGTTAACTCCATCTAAAATCTTAGAACACCTTTCTCAGAAAACAAACAGTTGTGATAATTATCTCAAAACATCACTTCAGACACCAGCATTAATAATCAAAATACTTGTGAATTTGTTTCTATTGAGAAATCTAAAAATAGCTATGATTAACAAAAAATTATAATACTAGCAAACTAAAATTTAAAAAAACACTAAGCATCACAAAGGATGATGCTTGTTCACACAATAAATGACCATAAAAAAAAGGCTTTGGCATGCTTGTTATGAGATTTTATTGTGTAATGAAAACGCATAATGCTAACAAATATAACTTTAACAAAGCTGATATTTACATCCTTAAAGTTAAATGATGTCATTAGAATATTTTAGGTAAACAGATTCTACTTGATGACCAGCTTCGAATCCCTTCATTATTTATTAGGCTAGCATAGATGTATTTATAATACATTGTTTCTAGTTTAAAATGTTAAATGCTGGATCTTCTTGACATCTTGATTTAGCCTGTGTCTCTGTTTTTATGACTAGGCAGCTCATTTTATTATTTCCTAATGAGGATACAGCTCTAAAACTCAGTTTTATGGTTTTGAGGCCAGCTGGTAGTCAGGTTTCCTGAATTCTGAGGTAGCTCTCAGAAAAGCTGATTCCATCAATAGCTGTAAAATATCAGAGTACTAACAGTACCATGTTGTGCATGGATGGTGTTTTGTTTGTCCTTTTGCTGTGCATTGCCAAGTGGACATTTGGATTTTTTTCAAAAAAAAACCTAAGCTTTAACATTTTATTGTTAAAGCTTAGGGTTTATTAATAGTAATGAGGCAATTGCTTGTACTGTTAAATAGAGTACTGAGTACTATATGTACTTTGCGTCAAGTTCTTTATCAAATTTAAATAATGACTTGAGTGTTAAAAAATATAAAACACAAAAACCCATCATCATCACCAAGCTCTCTAAATCTATCAGCCACTAATATCCACAGACTATTCCTTTATGCGCTTTCGTTTAGCACTACTTCACTCTATCACCTTTCTCTTTGTTCTATATCCCTCTCCTTTTTCTAAAGACTGCACTCTTTTTGATGTTATTTCTGATCAAATTAACCAAGCCCTCTCTCTTTAACCTTCAAACAATATTGTTTTGGCTGGTGACTTTAATGCTCATCACACTGAATATCTTGGTTCTAGTGTCAATGTCTCTGCAGGCGTTAAGGCCCACAACTTTTGCTTTTCTCATCCTCTAACACAATTACTAAATTTTCCAACTTGCTTTCCAGATAATCCAAATATATATCTTGTTTCTAGTCAGTGTTCAGTTTCTTCATATTCACCCTTAAGTGCTTCTGATCACGATTTAATCTTTCTAAAACTAATATATCATTCTTCTTTATCATGAGAATACCCCTATTATTGTACCTTTTATAACTACCTTAAAGTTGACAGAAATTCCATGATTTTCTCTGTGATGCACCTTTTGCATTCAGGCTGGCATGGAATCCTTCAATCCCTCTTGATGATTCCAAAAAGTAAAAAAGTTTTGTCTAATGCCAAAGCCTGCTATTCTCAGGTCACATAATCTTGTATTTTATCTCAAGAATTAGGCTCCAGAGACTTCTGGAGAATCTTTAATAGTTTCAATATTAAGGGCAAATCTGTTATTACACCCCTCTTGCATGGTTTAGATTTTGTTACCTCACCTAAAGACAAAGCTGAATTGTTTGCTAAGAACTTTTCATCAACCTTATCTCTTGATTCCACATGCTGTTACATCTACTATCTTATAGAATGCTGCTTCAAGAAAGGGCTGCTACATTGACTGAGGGTTTGGCATGAGGCAGCATTACTTTTTTTTATTATTTCAAATAATATTCATGATGTTTAAAAAAACCTCCACTGATGAGAGGGCAACAAGCAAAAAAAATTTACATTTTAGACTGCTCAACTGTAGCTTAACCAGCAATCTGACTCATTTAACCAGCAATCTGACTCATTTAACTATTGTCCAATTAGTCTTTCTACTATAATATGCAAGGTTTTTGAGTTTTCAATTTACAAACACTTAATCTTTTTTTGTTTGTTTTTTTAACATCTCTTTCAACAAGGCTGCAAGCAACCACTTTTAGAGTTACTGGAAGGGAAAAGATGAAGTTTTTGGAGCATCATAATGATTGACAGACAACTTAAAAGATTGCAAATTATATGAATCAGGAAAACAAGATGAAGGAAGCGAATTCCAAAGAACTGTTGTTCGAGGAAAAAAATCTAGACAAGAGTTTTTGGAGCACTTAGGAATAGTCACAGAAAAAGGATGAGACTTAATTGGATGATGAGTAACATAATAATGAGTTTTAGTAGCACAAGAGACTCTAGCTCTTTAGAGCAGTGCCTATTAGAGTTTTTGTAGAAAAGAGAAAAAGAAGCAACATTACAACGTTGTGATAATGGTTGGAGGATGGCTGCAAGAGCAGGTCCAACTATGTCTGTTTTCAACATGGCACTGTTAGTACTCTGGTATTTCATAGCTGTTGATGGAATCAGCTTCTCTGAGAGCTACCACAGATTTTAGGAAACCTGACTACCAGCTGGCCACAGAACCATAAAACCGAGTTTTGGAGCTGTACCCTCATTAGGAGATAATAGAATGGGTTGACTTGTCACAAAAGCAGAGACACAAGCAAAACCCATTCTTTTAAATCAAGAAGATTCACCATTCAACATTTATTATAAATACATCTGCGTCAGCCTAATAGATGAAGAAAGTGTGCAAGGCTGGTCAAAAAATACAATCTGTTTACCCCCTTACAATGTATGGAAAGATTAGTTTGCTAAACAATGCATCCAAAGGCTGGATTGTTAAACGATGCATTGAAAGAATAAAAAAAAATTTAGAAAAAAAAATTTAGAAAATTTAAAAGAAGTTAAAACTTGTATACATCATGCATTTTCTTTATCTGTCATTTTTTCTTTTATGTTAACAAGTTTTTAAACTTTGGATGATGACAGATTTGTTCTCCTGTCACAGCAGATATTTCCAGCAGTGAAAAACACTCGCTCAGAGCTGGAGAAAGCTACTGAAATTGCCATATTTTCCTGGCAAGCAGGCAAGTTTGGGATACTTAAATGATTGGTTCTTCCAGAAACTAGGTATATACCCATTATCAGCAATCAGCGTTATTTTTAGCTTTTTAACTCCGCCTCAATCTCCATTATCAAGGTGGTCCCTTTTTCCGGGTTACAAACCACTTTTCTAAATGCTTGGACCTTCAAGCTTTCACAAGACCTTTTTATGTATCCAGTTATTTTGTTTTCTTGAGGCTATGTATATGTGTCATTGTGTCTTGTGTACTCATAAACAAAACTTATGTTCATAAACAAATTATGTCAAATGAACTTTACACGATATTGAATTAATAAGTAAAAAATAAATTTTTTAATACATTTGTGAAAAGAATTCTTACAAACAAAAAAAATCACTTTTATAAA